GTGACTGTAGGTACTAAACTACAAGGTCATTGTCCTACATGATCTTTTTTTTTATCATGTAGGCCCTTATTTTCCAAATTCGCCACCTCTGCCACATTTCAATAAATTTTTATTGAAAGTTCTACGTCACCATCCTGACAAAGAGGAGCTGTAAAAGAGCGAATTCCAGTGCCAGTACCGTATCCCACAAATCTGAAGTAAGCGACCCCGAGCCAATGCTGAATATTTTTCTTCTTTTTGCACAAATGCCACCGCTCAACCAAGTTTCATGAAATCCATCTGAGTAGCTTTTACATAACTTTGCAGGAAAACAGACAAGGTTCCACATTTGGCTTCTGTCTTGATAGTGGCATTTGCAGTAAACACGGCTTCGGTTGTAGGGAATGTAATTTGGAGGTATTTAGTCTTTTCATTTTAGATCAGTTAATACTTTTCACCTACTGTGACATTTGCTGGGAAAAAAGATATCCTCAAGGGGTTAGAATCTATCCTGACCTGAACACTATTAAAACAAAATTTTCGCTAGCTGTTGAGAGTTGTGGGGGGATCGGCCAACGAACAGATGTTGTCGTTCCTCGCAGTACGACTAAAAGTGATGCAGAGTTTTGTTTGTTTCGCAAAGCCGTTTGAAGCTCATGTTTACAGACACCAACTGGTAGAAAACAGTGTTTACATTTATTTATCTATTTATTTAGCAGGATTTATGTTAATTAGCTGCAGCTGAGTAAACTTACTGGCCACAGTTTTCTTTAAAGCCAGTCATCGGGTTTAGCTTTCACTTGCTACAGTTCTTGGGACACAGTTAAAGCATCAGCTAAAGAAACCTATTATGCTCATTTCCTACCCTATATATTTTTTTAAATGTAAAAGAATAACTGACTGAGAAAGACTCATAGTTTAAAGTAATCCTTGTTCATCTCATAGTAGGCCTTGGCGTGGCCCCCTGAGACTTTTTTACCTCCCTTTCCCTTCAGCCCAGCTTCTTTCTGATTGGCTGTCCCTCGCGAACAGAAGATTTGAACAGCAGGTGGGTAGGACTGCTGTGCTCACAGCAAGAGCCGCGTGCCTGAGAAGACAATATTGAGGATATTCATAAACAGACATATAAAAGCACGAGTAGAAAAAATAGAAAAAAAAAGAAACAGAGCTTCAAAAGCAGACTGATGTCTGAGCTTTTGGCTCACAGGGATTACTTGTACATACTCTGGCCTCATTATTATCTTTAGCCGTGTTTATAAGGAGTATCCAAAGCTGTAACTGTATATATATATATATATATGTACATGTAAAGAAAGAGGAAAGACATAAATCCCCTTTAATTTAATTTCTCTTGAGGTTTCCAAATGTTGTTTATCTGCATTTTTAACATAATCTATGAATCACTCAAGTCATCAGGGAATTGGGTATTGTCCTAATTGCACTATATGCAGGTAAGAGTTTGCATTATTCTTAAATACTTGTGGACGTGCTGTCACAGCTAATGTGTTTTGTTGAAAGCACAGAGTACGCAGTCTGTTTCATAATACGATTTAATTTCAAAAGTCTGTTCAAGGACGTTAGGATTCATTATTTGTGATTGAGGGCTTTGATGCAATTTCAGGGGAATAAAACATTTGCTTATCAAAACCATTTTCTGCATCAGTAGCAGAACATCGTCCTACATACAGACATTGTTTAACTGAGACGTAAAGTGTGAACATTTTATTTGTGCTGATTTTTCTCTTCGTTGCAGCATGTCATGCTCTTTCAGGTTTCAAAGGCTAAGCAAGAGCATAATGTCCAATTAATTTTAATGTGAGACTAAAACCCAAGTGCTTCTGATGCATCCAAACACAGCTGCTTTTTTTTTCCTGAGCTATTTGCCTCAGTTCATGAGATTTCTTCCAAATATCCTCAAATACTCAGGGGTAACGGGGATCCACACAGCGGACAGTTAGCACCTCTGAGGCATGGGTAGATAAGATTCACGGTAAAAGTTGGCTAATATCTCAAAACTGACAGGAACTTTCTGGGCATTTACAAAGTGTGACTTTAGTAAACCTGTGCTGGTTTGAATAACATCAAGAAAGCCGAGGAAAGATTGAAGGGGTGGCGGGGGATCCTGCTCTTTGATGTATAGGATTGAGATGTGATGAGGTCTGTTCAAAGTGAGTACAAAGTAGTGTTAAGATGGAAAAGGCAAATGCAGCTTTAGTCAAGGTAGAGAAGCAGAGGTAGCAAGACATGATGAAGAAATGTCCTGTCTCACATGAAATGCAGGCAAAGAGGATGAAACGTTGTCAGACATTAAATATAGATGGTGAGCTTTAAAAACACACTTTTGTAACCAATGAACTTTGAAATGCTAAGCAAGGTGTAGTAAGGAAGAGCAGCCAGCCCTTATTACTGTGTTATGTTTGAATATCCACATTATCACATTTCTAATTGTCTTTGGTAAGCCAATAAGATTTCCCTTTCTGTGGTGCAGTCGGGAAGAACAGCCTTCACACATCTGCAGAGAAGAAATCACTCAGTAAGACAGGATCTGAATGTAGTAATTGCTTTTTATTCCTTTTGACACACTGACCGCAGCTTCCATGTGTCACTCATTTGAGTGGAAATTGGAAGGGTGAAAATCTACGTCTAGAATCCTGCAGACCTGCTTAGTCAGGCTCTTATTGAAGTGTGCACGGTAAAAATATGTATTTATTGGCCATAAAATAGCTGTCACTTCTCTTTAAAACCGCTAAAACTTTTAAATGTTAAATTGCATTCACTTGTGTTTGGGTGGCATAACCATAGACCACATATGGGCATAGCCACAGTGACGTCACCCATTGGTTTATGGACTCCCGCTTGGAAGCCTCGACTTGAGCTTTTTTACCATATTGGAAGAAAGGGGAGGCTCTGACTGAGGGGGAAAAGGGCACTGCACATTCTTACAGCAGTACTTGTCAATTACAAAGTAGCCATGCTCTAAAACATACTCATCTTTATCGTCTCTTGAAGTACAATGGGGGCCACAATTTACAACATGAGCATCAGTTTATATTCTGTGAGACCTAAATCTTGCTATTGAGACTATAAATTTATCAGATAAGTGTTTACCACATACGTAGATTAAGTGAGAACTAAGGCCATTTTCCAATAGACTTCCATAAACTAAGATTCCTTTTTTTTTTTACCCAGAGGAGTCGCCCCCTACTGGATATGAGTAAGAATGCAGGTATTACTGCACTGGTTTTACTATGTTGATCTATGGCTTATAACCTCTGATAGACATGACACTGTAGTATCATCACATTTTTCTCCCTGCAGCCATCCTTCGTCTCATCTAACTAGTGTTTTTTCCCAAAATGTCACCCTGTTGGATTCCACTTTATTTTCCAGTCTTTATTACTTTGTTTGAATTTTACCATCACGCAGAGCTCTCTGCCTCTGCCATTAACACTTTGACATTTTCACTAATTTCAGTTGTGGTACACTGGAAATTGCCACCTGACCCTAATAGTGTATATTGTCAAATAGTTAATTAATTCTGTGTAGCTAATCATAAGCCTCTGCATACTCGTGTAATCCAGAAAACTATCAATGCTCCACTGAACAATCCTCCGCTGACTACTACTGCTGCAATTAGTAGATGTATAACTGATCAGCAGCACACTTTTTGATGTTTCCTTTAATAGGTTATTAATATGGAATTGGATAGAAACAGGCAGTTTTGCATTTTGGAGAATTGTTTTCTGGTTATTAAACTACCACACGTTTCTGGGTAATAAGTCACAGCATTAAACACAATATGTACTCTGTTACCTTTATTTATTCTAAGAAGAATGCTGCAGGCATAAGTCAGCATTAATTCCAGCACTGTGAATAGTATCCTTATGTGTTAAACCATCAACTAATATTACTGTTTTATGAGATTAAGGCCACAAGTTAGTATTTTAAATTTTTAATGCACAGATATTAACATTTTATTGTTAGCAGGTCCTGTTGTTACCAATATACTATTATTAACTGATTTTGCTTCATAATCATACACTTGTTTCCACATTATTACACCCACTTTCTACCCTCTTAGTACCAATTATGTGATATTAGTCTTATAACTACTACTGTTAACTACTTGGCATGTGGCTCTTTTGTCCTGGCTACCTCTCCTCACACCCAACCAGTTATGGCAGATGGCTGGCCTTCCCTAAACCTGAGTTTTTCCTTCCCACTGTTGCAAAGTGCTTGCACACAGGGGGCTGTCTGATTGTTGGAGTTCCCTCTGTATTGTAAAGAGTTGAATTGGCTATTACTCGGTAATAATCCCTTATTAACCAAAGTAATACAAAGCTAGACTAGAAGGTGCTGCCCAAATGTTTCTCCTCAAACAACAGATACTAAGATTTCTCATCTTGTAAAGATAGTCATTTAATACCCTATAAACTCTTAAGTACCCAAGATTCCAAATACTTATTTTCCATTTGTTACAATCACACATCCATTGAATATTTGCAATGAGCAGTAATCATTACTGAGTGAAATACAGTTAATGAGATTATCTGCACTTTTAAATGCTGACCTACTTTTTCTGTGCCTACATCCTGCAGAGTTGAGTGATCCAGGACTGTCAGCAACAAATATGAGATCTTTCTTAGCTTAAAACTACTGACGTTATTACCAGGATGAACTCTTCTCTGAGTGTGAAGGTGAACTTTTCATGAACGCACGGTGTCACTTCTGCCTGTTTCTTTTGTAATTCGGCTACTACAAACATCCCCCGCTGTGCACCTGTGATAGATGCGGTTTATGTAATAATAATAAGCTGTTATTGAGTCATCTCATCAATGAAATGACATAATCTCACTTAAGTCAATTTAAAGTGTTTCTGTCACTTTTGCGTCACACACGGGCGCCGATTTAAAAAGAAGGCAGAATCGGTTTACCGCCGCTGTCATCATCGTCGGCATCATGTTGGAGCTTGTTGTTGTTTTTGCCTGGTTGGATCACTGCCCTCGTTTCCTCTGTTGCAGGTCCAGTGATGAAGCTGCAGCAGAGAACTCCTCGCCGGCGGGGCCAGCAGCCCAAGCTGCTCAACAGCCCCGAAGACAGCCTGTACTACAACCAGCTAAATGTGAGTTCAAAGTGCCGATAAAGGCCTTTGTCTGACTTTGGTTCCACATGATAATACAATTAAACCTACCTGTGCCAGACCCTGGAGCCCCACCCCCACGCTTCTCTGCCTCTTGTCTTGAACATGTGCTTATGCTCTTTATCTGTTGCTTTCATGTCAGGATGTCTGCCTTCACGGTGAATAATTGATGTGGTTTATCAAAGCTGAGCAAGATGCATGCTTCATCAGACTCACTTGAGCCCTTTGATCAGAAAAAAATTATGCTGTGACTTCTGATATTATCAGCATCTGCTCGCATTCAACACAAAATCACTTTGAATTAAAAATTAATGACTCTCTGCTCATCTTTTGACTGTGTGCTCTTGGCCCTTTCCTCAGAGAACTCTGGATTACCAGGGGAGCAAGAGGAAGCCGAGAAAACTTGGGTAAATAACTGCTTTCCTACTTACAGCAACTCTAAACAGAGCAGGCCCTTTGTGGAATAGGAGAATCCAGAAATGGAGTTGTTTTCTTATAATGTAAATGGAGAGCCGAAAATAACAGGGTTTTTATGAGGAGATGCTCTGCGTCATTGGAGAGAGGGTTACATATTAGGGCCTTTGTCATCATGCTAATTTTAACTGTTGAAGGTCTGCACTGTGCCTGTACTGTAATTGACGTTCTATTTCAGAGCAGTATGCTTAAGCAAACACCTCATCTCAGGTGCATCTGCAAATAATACTATTGCAAATGTCTAGCTTTACACAATATTAAACTAAAAAAGGCACCATTCCTCTATCACAGTAATGTCTCACCACTATCTTTTTGTCTCCTTAAAAAAAATCACAGTCAAATCAAAGTGCTGGATGGAGAAGATGAGTACTACAAATTACTGTCAACTGTGGAGTCGATCCCTGAGGAAGAGCACTCAACCACCGCCCCTACCCACCCTTTTTAGTTGGGCCCCTCGTCAGTCAGAGCTGAACCTTACAACCATGTCAGCCGGTAAGACAGACGCTTCAGACGTGTAGACAGACACTCCAAAGAACATCCTCTGCTTTGGATGTGCTTCGGTATGTGGAGCAAGTAGCAGCGGTGCAGAATAAGCGACCTGCGCGAGCCGTGCCCTCGTCTGCTAATGCAAAGCGATCAGAAGGTGTTTACAGGAGCAATTCGCTCGTCATCAGTGACAGTGTTAGGATAGTTTCTTCCTTCGACTCAGAGTTTGGAACACATAATTCTACTAGATTCTACTAGACTAGACGTACTAGATTTCTACCTCGTGTGCACAATTTTTCAAGTCTTGTTTTTTCTTTTATTACGATAACTTTAACTCTAGTAAGTTACACATCCGAGCTTCTGTTATATGTGTTCTACTGCATGGTAAAGAATTTTATTTCTAGAGGCTGAAATCCTGCATTTAATCTTCAAATTGCAATAAAAATGGTGCAGAAATTCATAAAAACACACATAAGAGAAGGATAAAGAGGAAGTAACATTGTCCCAAATATCCAAGCTCCACAGGGCTGCATATAGTGAATATTCCTATTGTCCATGTAGCTGTTAATTGGTTTATTGATTGATTCTTTAGTCTAACTAGTTTAGTTTAAAAAAAGATAAAAGGAAGCACGTCTTATATATCCTCTTATATTCATGACTAGATAAATTATGAGCTCATTAAATGGCCATTGATAATTTTCGGTTGTTTTTCTAAGGGTTGAATTGAGCCATCGTTTCTCTGTTACAATGAAGTGCCCCTCATTTTGCAGGCAGTGCGCTGCTCAGCTCAGTGGGGTTAACCTGACGTGGAAACATCTACCTATTCCCGAGCATTACGTCTATTGTCTAAGACGGATCCGGAGACAAATCCTCGTGAAACCCAAAACTCTTTCGACGAGTTCTCCCACAGCGAGTTGCCTGTAGTTAAAGGGGCTTTGTGCTGTCTGAGAGCTGGAATCACCACACATAGCTTCACAGAGGCAGAGCTACAACTCACTTTGAATTTCACCCTAAATACAGGAATTTTCTTTTAAGATGTGAAGTGTCGGAAATGCAGGGCTGGCGAGTTGATTTGTAGAGCTTTTTTTTTTCTTTTCAATTTGCATATCATTTACTGCATCTCCCTTTGTTGACACCCGAGGGCCTGAGAGGAGATTTTGATCTTAATAGGAAGAGTAGGGTGGTATGACTGAGGATCTCATCCTCCTTATACTCAGCGGGGAAAACATTAGAGCTCTGCCTTGATAGCAAACCCAGCTCCACTTAGGTTCAGATTCACAGGAATCCTGGTGGGTTTAACGAGGTCCAGGGTGTTCATCAAATCCTACAGCTCAATGCTGTGAGGGTCAGACTCGGGTTGAGACACTGAGGCTTTACTACTTTACTACTACAAGCTGTATTAGTAATCTTTGATTTTCCTTCTTTAACCTCTCAAGTCTCCTTTTAATTTTCTGCATGGTTGACGCTTTTGTCTCTATTTTTTTGTCACTTGACACCACTGTGGTTTAAATCTGCCGTTTTCCAACCATAACTATGCTGTTTGTTGTTTTAAACAGCCACAACGTCTTTAGTGGTGATGTGGTTAATCCACATAGGTTTAAAAGTTGCACATACTGTCTCCTGTGAGGAAGACATAAATAGAGGTAGCTAAAAGTTGTTTACATCTTTCAGTAGACTTACTGCAAGGTACGCATATTTAATGTTATTAAGCCTTTGGTTGAGCTGGTCTTGAGCTGATTGAGCTTTTTATAGCATAACGTCAATTGATGAGGGCTCTTTTTTCTCTATGCTTTATAGCCTTGTGACAAAGTTTGGGAGTTCTGGACAAAAATATCTGAAAATATTTGTGATATTTATAAATTCTGTTCTGATCCAGATTATTTTTTAGGTAATATTTTAAGAATTAGAGCTATAAAATAAAGAGAAAAGACAAACTAGCATCACAAGAGGCAGACTGATTAGATATTCTGATGATAGACTGAATTGTGCCCACAGTACAAGGGTCATATAAATTGAGTTATGTATCCCAGATCTCCCAGGAGTACTAGACTACAAAATGTGCCCATTATAAATGAAGACATGTGTTGACAGCCACATATTTGGTGAATTTAAGTGGTGAGAGTATAAATATAATGTATAAATAAGTAAAGTATAAATAGCTGAAATACTCTAAAACTGAACACGGCACAGTTTACAATAAAAAACGAAAGGAACATTTTTGGTTTTTCTAAATTAAGATTTTATAATTAAGCTTTAAAAAAAAAACTATTTTTCAGTTTATTGTCATATTTAAGTCCATAAAAATTCAAAGCGTAAAAACCCCGGACCACTGGCAGTGTTATAATGTAGTGTCACAGTTACTTGAGAAGCATTTCACCTCCGGTCGTAGCCACAGATCCTGCAATAATTAAAATCCTCGTTGTGCATTACTCCCTTGCTGGGATAGTTGGTTCCTCTGAAGAGCAGTCTGAAATAGGTCACCCCAGCACCCTGTAGTGCATCTTAAAAGTACACTGAATCAATTAAGTGTGATCATGCTCCCTTGATTATTTTGGCCCTGTTTTACCACAGAGAGGAATTTCAAATAGGCTCGCTAGTTTGAATAACAAGGTTGGACTGTAGTGACAAATGGTGCCAGAGTGGGTGTTTCTTCCCCTGTTTTCCTCTGCCAAATTAACTCCCTGGCTGATTGCCTACTTTAGCATATGAGAGGAGGTGAGCAGAGGTGTGCGCGTAATTGCCTCGGATAGCTGATTATGTGTTGCAAAAAGGCAAATGTTATGAAATGCTGTTGTCATTCCGATGAGGGATGTTCTGACCTGACGAACCAAACCCCCTGTGTTTGTTTAGCCTCCGGGTCATTTTGGGGGACAGCGGGTAGGTTAGGCCAGCGTTGGAGGCCTGACACCTGTGTTTTCTTTAATACGTTTTTGTAAAAAAAAAAAAAAAAGCCCAAAAAAGCAGCTCCTTCTTGTTTTCCCTCATTAAATCTGACAACATCTGGTGTGCGGGAGAGGACTCCTTTAATGTGGCTAACGTTACTGCTGCTGTTATTCTTGCCATTTTAGCTATCTGCTTCATGTGCTGCACATTCATTAAAGCTACATCCAAGGCAGCTCCAAACACTGTTATCCAAAGTTTTTAAACCACCTTTATGAAAATCGCCTGCGCTGCAGCCTTAACAAATGATGAAAAGCTTTTATTTTCTAAAGAAGCATACTTACCTTTTCACCTAATAGTGATGTCTCACTTCAAAGAGGGAACACGATTAGGCCAACATTGTCCTGTTTCTCTATCCTTTGAGTTCAAAGGGAGAGTTTCGATGCAGCATTTCATGTGCAGCCTTTTCAAATACTGTTTTAATGCAGTTTACGTGCTTTTCATATCCAGATCTGTCACATTTCCACCACACTAAATGTATCTTGCTATATTATGGTTGCATACCATATGTTGGGGTTTTTTTGTGAGTAAAGAATTAATGCCTTGCTTCATAATGCAGACTACTAAAATAGCTACAAACTCAGCATTGCAGTGCTGTTTGCTGGCTAGCGTTGGAAAGAGTGACATGCAAGAGTGTCAGCCAGATGTCAGATGTATGTGAAAGGGTAAAAAAAGAGAAACATGCCCTAAGAATGCAGTAATAAAGAAACTTGTTGAGCAGGGTAAAAGCACAGGGAGGAAGAGGAAGAGGAGGAAGAAGGAGATAAAAGAGTCCGTTGAGCACATACATCAAAGGTCTCTTAATGACAAGGGATGCCATTAGGGTTACAGTCGCTTTTGTTTCAGCTTCCTCTCACCTGCAGTTTGTCGAGGGCGCTCCATGCGCTGTTTTTGTTGTTGGCATTTGCATGAATGTAAAATGCATGCATGAGAGGAGGAAAGAGTTTGCTAATCTTACAAGTGACTAAATGTTTTGGTCCAAATTACAGCTACCTTTTCATTTGCAAAGGAGACATCTTACCCTTGATGTGAGAGGGACAAAGCTGGAGAAAGCCAGCATAGAACAATAGGAACAATATGGGAAAGCTGTTATCCTGTATGCCATGAAATTTATTGACTTAAAAGTTTTTTGGGTGCCTCCGGTGCTGGAATGGGATTTGACAAATCAGAGCGTGAAATTATGATTAGCCCCTCTCAGTTTGTCGAGGGAGCGGGGCACTAGCAGACTTGGCATGGCCAAAGGTGTAACCTGTTTTGTTTTGCCCCAGCATTGCTTTCCCAGATGGTGGGACCAGCTGCCGTTGAATAAACGCTGGACTGGTAACAGTGTGAGAATTACCACGGCCTTGTTTCGGTTTGGGATGCATAGCTGAAAGCTTGTCATTTTTGCCACTGCCAGGAGGAACCGGAGCGGTCACCTGGTGTTCAACCAAACAACCTTGATTGAGGTCACACTAAAGTAGTATACAGTGTAATTGTTTTAATACTTTCCTTATATGGCCCACAAAATACTTTTTTTTACCAGAAGACTCTTAAAATAAAGGTGGACATTTGCAAATTGCTTATAAATTGTGTTTTTTAGTTTATTTGCTCAGTTTTCTAAAGTTAACATAGTTCTTGAATAGAAACAGGGTTTTTTAGGCAAACAAGCTGTAACTATATAGCACATTTCAAACAACTTAAATTAACAACAAAATGGAAATAAAAAATATTTATGTAACACCAATACAAAATTATGAAAGATAGCCATAAAAGACAGGTAGTTAACACAGTATTCATCTTTTATTATTTCAGGTAGATACAATACTTGTGTGAAGAAGGAGGACATTTTTTCCATGCAGATTATTTATCTTTTATTTGTTTTTGCTCCTCCAATATCGGTCAAGTCATACTAACATTAATTTTATATAAATCTGAGCAAATTAAAGATCTTCTAATTAAAGACCCAGGCATTTTTTCATGACTCCTAATACTATTGTACATGGGGGGAAAACAAAGTTCATTTTGAACAACTCTAAAATCTCAAGCTTAATAAATGCCTCTCTTCAGAAATGCCATTATATCTGCCAGTGTACCAGTTGATGGGGCGATCCACTTTCTCTGTATATTAACTTTCATGGCTAGCTCTGCATAGTAATCATGGCAACATTCAGTGATGTATTATTGACTCTCTCAGGTCAGAGCTACTTTGCCTGTTGTCGGTTGGCCTGATCTGAATTTGTTTCTGCCACTGGAAAATAAATAAGTGGATAAAAATGTGGTTAGTACCTCAAAATTTTGCCTTGCTGACCAAGTATCTTGACATTTTGGCGTACTTCTGATTAACTTGAAATTTTGGGATACATAACTCAAAATTTACAATTTAAAATTTGACTGGCAAAAAAACCTGCAGAGATGCCATATTAATATTAAAATCTATAGAAATACACATATAAAAGGGGGGGGGGCACTTGCATTGAAACTCCTATAAGGCAAAAACGGCATTAAGCATTGCATAGCTATATAGTGACATATTCTGCCACAATATCTGACAGCTTGTTACGTCTCCTCGAGGGCAGGAGGGGATAACACAACAACTCTGGAAACCCGGTGCAGGTGTTATAAAAAAGTTTAATGGCAGCGCGCTCACAAAATAAATAACCCAAATTCAAACAACAAATGCGGGGGAGAAAGGGACAGTTAGGTTGTGCCAAAAAAAAAACATCAAAAAGACAAAACCAAAACTTAGCTGAGTTATTATCCTAGAAAAACAAAAACAGGGGGGAAAGACTCTAAACCTCAATTCAAAACAAGCTCAAAATTACATGGGTGGCACCAACCTACTTACCTAGTGTTTCTAACAAAAAGACTCTACGTGAGTAAGTGTATGGGGTCCCCAAACTTAACTAGTCCACTTTACTCCCACCACAACCATCAAACAAAAGAAATACAGCAGAGGAGTTTTACACATGTGCCAAACAATTCGAAGGAGGGAAGAGAGCCGCGCCCAGCCACAGGTCAGTCTCCTTATCAAGGTGTGCCCTCCTGGTTTGTCCAATCAGGGTCTCCCTCCTCTATTTAGTTGGAGATCCCCAAATTGACATCAGGCTGCAGTCTGCGTACCTAAGGGAATGGCAAACAAAAGGAGAGGGAAAGAAAACATGCAGCCTGCAGACATGTAACACAGCTTTATGTTAAAGCAAAGTTACAAAACTGAGTTGAACATACATAACTTTGTAAATATTTATATTCCAACTTCTAGTGCTGTTATTTTCTTGTGTTTTTGCTTTTTGAGGATGACAAGAATTTCTAGTGTAAGGTTCAAATTTCTCACGGTTATGTCGTTGCCACCTGCTGCTTAGTAGATCGTGGAAAAAGGTGATATATTTGTAGCAGCTCACAAACATTTCCAACAAAAGATGACGGTCATATAATAAACAAATGTTTAAAAAGCTAAGTGCCGTAAACTGAAGGGTTGATAGCACTTGATTATCACAGGAGTGTCCATTGGATCTGAGTATGGTGATTGGAGGTGAGGTTGCTTTATTATAATGTTCCTGGGAGAGCGCTGCAGGCTGTAACTCACTCTGTTCAAGTCTGTACATCATCATCATCATAGAGGGGAGAGAGTTTTCCTCTTTAAGGCTGGACTGGATTAGCACATTCAGGGTGGGCTGAGAGAAGGTAAAACGACCTGTCCCGCCTTACTTGACCCCCAAGCCAACCCTGCACATTGCCAAGGTTTGCTCTTGAATATGCAGAGATCCCCGGCTTCATAGGCCTGGAAGAGGGAGAGAGAGAGGGGAAAAAAAAAGACTTGTATCGCGTTGCAGGGAAAATTAGTGAGACCAAAGTTGGAGTTTCTGTGTGTTGGGGGCTGTGAACAATGGCAGCTTTCTGTCAGACAGCAACTTCAAAGGTCTGCTGAGTGACTGCTCTGAGTTATACTTTGTTGTAGATCACTGAGGAAATTCACAGATGTTTTCTCATACGAGACACCATTATAGCGGCTCAAGTACCCAGTAGCCTCAAGCGCCTCTCCCTCTCTCCCCGTCTTTCTCTGTTTCTCCCACACATTCACACTCCCTCTCACACATGCAGCACCCCATCACCCACCTCCACTCATCCCCAAGTCTCTGATATCTCTTGCATGAGACAGATGTGGAACCTGTTTTCTCTCCAACTGTCCAGAGAATATGGAAAGTTAAAAAGGGCTCGTGTTGTGGCGTCGCCCCGCGACTCTGTCAGATCCTCTCTTCTCGCTGTCAGTTCACTCAAAAATGTCAAGACCGTACACAGCTACACTTTTTCACATCCAAAGTTAGAGGTCAATAGAATAAGGTGGAATTCTCCCTGCTAAAATAGGATGTTAGTGCAAACCTGGGTAAAGATAATGAAAAGCATTTTAACATCTTTATTTTTCTCTCTTATCCTGCAGATTGCCTTCATTTGTCTTATGGATCAAAACAACCTGCTTCCCAACATCGCACTTGACATCTGTTGTAAATTTATATTTATTTCATGTAAATTGTTGTTTTATAAGAGTCAAATAAATGTGTCTAAATGTTTTTTAATTCATATTTATTACTGGTGTATAACGGTATTTTGATATTGTAAGCAAAACAATTTACCCGCCACAAATCTGTTGTTTTATACATTTTTTTCCTCATTTTAGATTGATGAATTATTTCCCTCTCCCCTTTTAGATCAGACACAATAGTTTGGTTACAGCTAATTGTTTCAGCCCGTGCTGGCACTTGCACATACTGTTAAAAACTTATGGCAATAAAAACTTAATGAGTCGTTCTTTCTTCGCCTTAATTGCCCTTTACAGAAATGATTGTCACCTGTTGAACGTCTATGATCCACCCCACTGTTTTCTTTGATTTGCACTGTCAAGAAAGTGTAAAATATATATATATATATAACTACTATGAGTGGGGTTTTTTTTGTTCTTCTATATACAGATTCCTGAATGCAGGTTCCTGCATATCTGCACCCTGAACATTATTTCTGATGCTCAGCTCTCCACTTTATACTAGAAAAGGCTGTATGAAGTACATAGTTGGTGCTGACTGAGTCCATGTTCAAACCTTTCCAGGCAACAAACTGTTGCAGGGGGGGGGGGTCCCTCCAAGTTAATTTTACCCATCAAATGCCGCGGGCAGAAATTTCCTTTAGCCAAACTGTCGCTGAGGCGGCCCTGTAAAACTTGAGGCGTGGCCATAAGATGGTGACGGTTTGGAGCAAGTAAATTACCTCAGGGACTGGACAATGTGTTAAGCACACTGTTATGAATTTCTTACAAACTATATCAAAGTCCTGCTTAGCCAAATCCTTCCCTCAGGTGGGGTCCTATTGAGATGCATTAAAATGTAAGAGCCCACATTTGGGGTGAAGCGAACATCTCAAAGGAAGATATCAATAATTTCTGACTGCTGATGGTTCGCAGAATTCATGCAGTTGTCACATATGGCTGAAATATGCCTTGCATGGCATATGACAGCTCGCATGTAAAGCTGATTTAAGTGGAAATCCACCTTAAATCAGAATTAACATTTGATGTTTTTAAAGCCTATGAACCAGGCTGCTGTAGTAGAAAAATGTTGTTTTAGGGTGGATTCCTCCTTTACTGTTGGCATAAGAGAGCAGATTGCAACTTTTGACATTTATCTGACATTTAAACCTGGAAGTCAAAACTAACTGACAGCACTTTGCTGCACAAATACATCTTTACAGAACAGACTATGGATATTTTTTTTAACCAGTGACATCTGAAGTCTTACAAATAGCTGGTTAAGCAAATTTTACAGCATCCTGTAGTTTTATCGTGTACCTTTCATGTAGTTTGAGCTCCTTTGTGCTAAGATCCTTCAAACAGTTTCGCACCAGTGAAGCTCACAAAAATTTGCAGTGAGGTGTCATTTATGAAGCCTTTATAAGTTTTAACAGCTTTATAAAAATTTTAAACCTGCATTTATTCTTCTCCTTCTTTTGCTTGCTCCTTTTAGGTGTACACATAAACCCGTTATTAATGTGTTATAAATCTTTTTATAACAGGTTTTTCTTCTGCCTACACTTCCTTGGCTACACTTGTTTAAAAAAATAATATTTATAGTATTGGTGACGAAATTATTAGCAAATATAAACCAAAAGCACAAATGAAAGGATACTTTTCACAACCTGGCAACCCCAAACTACATCTTATCAATGTCTCCTAATTCGGTTATTCAATAAATCTGTTTTGAGCTTTAATAAAGCTATGCAGTGTCTTAATTGGTCATCATCTCATGATAAGTTGAAAACAAAGTGTGATTTTAGAGGATCAACGGTTGGGGCAATTTTAAAGTGACACATTAAAAGTAAATAGCACCATTTTTTAGTACTGCTTGTTCAGATTTATAATTTCATGAAATCTGCGAGGTGATTTTCAAGCTTGTTGTCTTAAAACCTTCCTGATTGCCACATTTTTTGCATATTTTGAAGCAGCATTGAGCTCTGTGGCTGCCACAGCTTGATGTAAACAAGGTTAACAGTGTGACTACACCACTCACTCCTGTAGCCACTCTTGTAGTTTAGCATGGCTCCAGTGAAGCCCAGCAGGACTCCCCCTTTCCCTCATGACTGTGTGTAAAGCCGTGGGAGAGAACTGGGAACATTAATCCCTTCAAAGGAACAGATCTAATTCAAAATCTGCCGCTCCAAACTAGTTGAGAGGACAGTGATTGTTTCTGCAGGGAAGCCAGATAAAGATCAGAGAGTTGAACTACAACTTCCATTTTTTTCCAGCTCGGTAAAACATTTAAAAAGAAGTTCCGGATGTTATCTTATGAAAACTGCATACTTTTGCCTTCATTAAATGCTCTGAAACAAAAAGGATGCAGTATTACAGGATGTGTTAGCTCAGGTTTCTTTTTTTTTCTTTTCGAGAAGCTGCAGTGGATGGGATCATTAGTTTCTTTCTGGTTTTCGGGACCTGTTCAGTCATAAAGACATAAGAAGAAAACATAATTGAGATGTCCACATTTTAAGTGCTACCTTTGTCACCTCACTTATCTGACAAGTTAAAAACGTTCATTTAAATTACCTGCTGGGAGTTTTTTTTTCTTTTTCTTTCAGGCTTTTAGTTTGGGTTGGGAAAGAATGAACTGGATTGAGGTTCTGATAAAACAACTGATTGAAATGAGTGAAGGGGAAATAAGTATTTAAATAATTCAGAGAGGGCATAATTAAGTGTTTCAGTTCAAAGGCACAACAAAGATTTTTTTTTTTTTTTTTTGTAATTTAAGCTTGAAATGTAAAAGAGACGCAGATTCTTCAGAGATGAGAACTTTGTGTTGAGTCACTTGATTTGGTCTCTTTCCTCCATCAAACAGTGAGGCAACGCTCTTGGAGATCTCCAGAGATAACAATGTCACATTGTCACATAGGGTTCTGCTACAAATCCTTAATTACAAAAAAGAGGATCAGATGACTACAGCATCCAATACTGGGGTCTCCAGGCGGCATGGGGGTCTTTGATCAAGAAAATCCAATTATTTGTGTATATACATTTCCCACATAGTGATTACTTCATTAATTGTCCCGCCTTTATCTCCTCCCTTCCCAGCCCCCCTAATAATCAGCTCCTTTATCCAGACCAACAAACACACCATAGGAGCTTTGTGGATTCAAAGGATTTGCTTTCCCCTCTCAAAGAGCCGCTATTCTTTGATGATTGGGCAGCGGCAAACTTCAAAGTAATAAATCTTATTTCTGACTGGCTGGCGGCCCACCAAAGTCCTTATCAAATTCTAAGAAGTGATCCCTCACTCTTCAGATAGACCAAGGATATATCGGAGAGAGGAAGCACTGGAGAGTGAAGCCCTGCTCGACAAGATATATTTTTTGTGTACCGCGAATGAGTATATTTGTCTAAATTAGTGCTTTTATTTTTTATTCGTCTTTACCGAGCGGAGGAGGACGTTTACCATGGCAGCAGTGGCTGTACTGCGGAATGAAACACTTCAGGCTTTTCTTCAGGTTTGTGCGCAAGTTTCTCTTCACTTTTCACCACTTTTAAGAACTTGTGAAGTTGCTAACTCCAGTTTATGCTCAAAATACGTGTCTTCTCATTTCCGACGCTAATTGTTTGGGGGCTTAATGAGTCCTGCTGCAACATGCCGCCAACTTTTGTGTCGCATCATCACGATTGACTTCATCATTTAGATTCAGATTTCAGACCAACTCAGACCGACCATTTCGTCATAATTAAAAGCGGCATAAATGTGTCATAAATGTGTTAAACTGAGATCATAACGTTAAAAAAAATGTGTGTCTCGGTTATCCAGGATCGCACTCCAAACTCTTCCCCAGAGAACTGTAAGCACTCTCCGCTGGCTCTCCTGGCTGCCACTTGCAACAGGATCGGGCATAACCACGGATCAAACCCCGCTGATTTCCTCCAGGTCCCCTACGATCCCACGCTGGGTTCTCCTTCGCGTTTATTTCACCCGTGGACTAACGAGGGAAACCCTCAGAGCAGCCTGGCCAACAACTCTACTTTCGGACTATCCTCCAAGCCCCAGCTCTCTGCGCACATCCAGAGCCCCTTCAGCTCCCACCACGAACTGCCCCTCACCCCTCCGGCGGACCCCTCGTACCCCTATGACTTCTCCCCCGTGAAGATGCTGCCTTGCTCCATGCAGTCCACCTGCCCTCCCACCTACGTCCCCGCCGTCAGCTACGCGGCTCCAGCGCCCATTCCGCCCGCGATGCCAAGTTTTGTCACGGGACCCTCCGGCCTTGTGCACCAGCAGCAGAGACAGTTGTCCCCAAACCCTGGAGAGGATATTCCGTGGTGGAGCCTCCAGCAGGGGAACCACGTAAGCCACTCTTCCTCACTCGGTCCTCACCGCTTCCAGCTGCAGAGAGGCTTGGTTCTGGGACACACGGACTTTGCGCAATACCAGACGCAAATCGCCGCTCTGCTGCACACAAAGTCCCCCCTCGCGACTGCGCGGCGGTGCAGGAGGTGCAGGTGTCCGAACTGCCAGTCCTCCACGTCCAGCGACGAGCCCGGGAAGAAGAAGCAGCACATTTGCCACATACCGGGTTGCGGGAAAGTTTATGGGAAAACTTCTCACCTCAAAGCGCACCTGAGGTGGCACTCGGGGGAGCGGCCGTTTGTGTGCAACTGGCTGTTCTGTGGGAAGAGTTTCACCAGGTCGGATGAGCTGCAGAGACACCTGAGGACTCACACAGGGGAGAAGCGCTTTGTTTGCCCGGACTGCTGCAAAAGGTTCATGAGGAGTGACCACTTGGCAAAACACGTCAAAACTCACCAGAACAAAAAGAGCAAATGCCACGAAAAGACACTAGATCACGTGAAAAGAGAGGACACCAGGATGTTGTAACACACCTTATAGTCATCTTAAACAGTAGACTTTAAAATAGTGCAATACAGTCAGTGCTACACTAGTTACAAGTTCACAGTGAGCTGCATTTTTGTAGGGTACTTGGTTAATTTTGTTGGTCGATTTCTTACATCCTGACAATAGTTTCTAACATTGCTGGTCTGTGTAGCACATTTGTGTGTGTGTGTATATATATATATATATATATAAAGTTTCATAAGTTAATTTGGGACCATGGAGGAGCTCATAAGTTTGAATTCACTGTCTATATCATATCAAGGAAGACAAGTTTTCAACTTGTGTTTTGATCAATGTCTTCGGTGGAAGATTTCACTCCCCTGTAAATGATATTTAATAGCTTTTGTTGAATGAAAGTGTCTGTTTTTGCTCCATATGGGGTGTTTATAAAAGCATGCTCTCCAGAAGATCTGCTATTGTTAATATGACCTAAATGCTGTGTGAGAATAAAAGTTATGACGTTTTCCTCATCTCAGAACAATTCATTTAATATCCCTCAGTTATATGAGTGATGATGAGGCATCCAGGCGATATATATATTTTTTATTCATATCACCTGGAATAATGTGTGTGCTTTGTAAAATGTTGCAGACTTAATGTTGTCAAAGTTTCCTGCCAGTAAAATCCAGTCATTAATTTTAGACTATATATTTTTAAATACTCGTTATTCTAAATGTAAATGTTTCCATCTTTTGATTATGGTAAAAAAAGAAAAAGTAGCAGGACTGATTTTTTTATGACTATTATTAGTATTATCATTACTTTTGAGGCTGTTCTGAAAATTTGCTGCTGTTTTTTAAAACAAAAGCCCAGAAATTTTTAGGCGAAGAGGCGACAGAATTTGATTTGGTGGGGAGTGAATTTTGAAAATCGCCACAGAAATAATGGAAAAATGTGCAGCCACCTTGTCGAGATGTACCTGTGTGTGCTGAAATTAGGCCACCAACTGGGTAAAAAGATGGATAAATAAATATTAAACATCCGTCTTCGTAAAAGGAATGAAAAGGACCGCTTCAAATATTTAATTAAGCTCCAAATTTCTGTATCAGAAGTGTTTTCCAGACCTGTAACACTGTCGTGTTTGGGCTATTGCACATAAGCTCATATTATCATGGTTTCTTATTCTCAGACATTCAATTGCAGGAACGTTCTTCAGTATTTATGCACTCTGATAGGTGGTGGATTTGTTTTGTGCCACTGTGTTGGACATTTCCTGTATTGCAGTGTCATTGTAATTGGAAATGTGACCAATCAACAGAAAAACTCTTACTCTGAACATGTGATAGAATAGGTGACCCCGGGATATGCAGCAGCTGGATTTTTATGGCACTTGTGGCACACTAGATGTCACATTTACCACTGTGGTAATGCCTTGCTCAAAAGCATTTCTCTGTTTTACGACTGCATGCTCATGTGCTGCTTTCTCATCAGTTATTTCAAGTGTTTCACTTTGACTTCCTCCGCCCACGTCATCTCTTGGTTGTTGGGGAGTAAAAGTGTCGACCTTCGGAGAAAAAAAAAATCCTGGGTTTCGAACCTTGAGGCTCTTCCTTTTCATACAACTTATCAACACAACAAAAAGTATTGAACTTTTTACAGATCAGATAGTGATACAGATCCAGTCATCTAATTTACTCATTCAGTAAGTAAAGCAGAGCAGCATCACTGCCTGCCAGCAGTCACTCTGTTTGCCTCTATGTGGGATCTCTGAGAATGTCAGCATGAAAAGGAGGGCTGCCATTCAGAGGAGTTTTCAGAAAGAGTTTTCTGCCTCAACAGCGCCCCCTTTTGTAAGTTGCTGTTATCCATAAAAGCAGGCAAATATTATTCTTAGAATTGTAACAATAACATTTGCTCTCACAGATCTTTTTCCCTGTTTTTCTAACGCTCAGAGTGTAGTCACGGACAATTTAGAAAGCACGACCTACTGAGCCAATGTTTCAGTCACTTTGTCGAACTTTATCCACCAGTGCACATGCAGCTTTAGCTCTAGTTTAGTTTACTTAATTATTCTGTTGCAAACTATTTTATGTGTTGATTTAAATTCAAGTATTGTTCCTTCACCAGAATTGAAAATTCAGGATGCAAACATGCCGTCATTCTTTAAACTTTAAATTCTTTAAAAGGACAAACCACAGACGGGCTGAATCCAGGTGGAATAAACTTGAAAAAGTTTATTAAGTGGCAGGAATTCATCCCATTAGTTTTAATGAATAATCACATGAAAAATGCTAAATACAGTATGGTCATCACTACTTGAAATGTTCAGGTATATTCAATACGCCACCAATAATTGTAAACTGGGCCTTAAATACCCAACAGATGATCACAACTGTTGCAGTTCTATGTTGAATTAAATGTTTTAAAAGTGGTATTTAGACCGGTTTTTGTCGCTCCCTTATGACGTGTTGTTCGTGTGAGGCTGTGAGTTTCATTAGCCTGCTTCTAGTTCTCCAAAGAATCTGCAGGATATGAACGTATCACATTCGGCCAAAGAAGAAGAATAAAGTAGAAAAAATATCAAAAGCTACCATATAAAGTGTGATTTGACCACTTGAACTGTAAAAGTCTTTATCCAAATTTCATGATCCTATTATAAAACGAAGCCTATGGATGGATGTGTTGATTGCACCCAACCCGGCTCCTCACAATGGCTGCGATTTGGCTGCTATTCTTCGACTCTGCTGGAGGCCATATGGCTTAACCGTTTGTAGTGAGGATATCGTATGTTGTGGCTTAAGTTTATCTTCTGAAAGTTGAATGAAAGATTTATGAAGTTTTTAAATTCCATATCACAAATACCTCCTTAAATGTGACTGACAGAAAAGCTTCACTAGCTTTGCTGGGATAGGTATAATCGCAGGTTAAATGTTCATTCCCATCATTATACTCAGTGTGATTCCCCTTCTTTAACCCACTTTAAGACTGTCTATAAGTGATTTATAAATATATAAATTAACCATCCAGACAGAAGGATGTTTTTACCCAGTGATATATATTTTTTTATTCTTAAATGGACTGCTTACTCTAACAAATACACTAAGACGGTAAGCTAAATATGTGTATAAAACTGGTACCTTTTAAAGTACTGGGTCCAAATAACAAGTAATAGTATAAAATTATAAACAGTATATAGTTACATGGTAAAGTTAACCCAATCTCAAGCCAAGCAGGGTACAGTTTTAAACTGCTGATTGTTGTTGCAACCATAATGAATGAATGACTATAAAGCAGCCGTTACCATATGAGAACATTAGTGAATCTTTTTTAGCTTTCTAAGGGTTCACTTACTTAACAGCTCTTGATAAATACATCTGTATCTGCATGTTGTGAGTGGTTACATCTTCGTATGCCGCTCCGCAAATGTGAAGCTGCTGTAACTGCAGCGTTAATACAAAAGCTGGGTAAATGATCAAAGAACATTGCTAATACTTTAGTGTAACATTAGGATATTCAAAGCCATCATAGCAGTTCAACCAGTGATCCTTCCTCACTCTGCAGACGTTCAGAATTAAATGACTGACGAGCAAAAACCTGATACCAGCAACTCTGCTACAGTCAGTGGAGGACACACATGTACAGCCGATAATCTTACAGCCTTGGAGCTGATGCTACGTTTTAGTTCAGCAAGAAGAGAAAAGGTTTGTGTAGACATTTCATAGGCACGGAGTCTGTAAGCTGAAATCAAGACAGCTATATTTGTCAATAACGCTGGGTTTCCTAGGCAACCGGATTGGCTGAATTGTCCTTGCATCCAGTCTACAGCTACAGAGTGATGCATGATGAGGGAATCACTTCCTATGTGGATGACCCATTAAGCATAATTTATTTTTCAGCTATGATTTAAAACAGTTTTCACAGTCAAATAAAAACACTGTCAACATTTTGAAGATTGATGGCTATTGTTTGTTTTTTGTTTGTGTTTTTTTAAGAACAGAGAGTAGTGTGCTTTTAGACAGTGGCCTAAAAAAGCCGTAGCCACCGTGATGTCATCTCGGTTTTAGACTCCACAGTTTAAAGCTTTAGGTCGAACTATCTGTCTGCTGCCATGTTGGCTTCTTTAAGACAGAAGTTAACTGTCATCTTTCGGGGTCTGTGACCACCCAAGTTTAATATTTAAGTTTTGTTTATTTTGATATTTTCTGTTATTTATATTTTCATATTCAGGCCTTATTGTCTTTTTTTTCCTTTTGGCTTTTTCATGATATTTCCAGGTTGTGTTTTCTTAGTACTTTTAGTAACTATTTATTCCACGAGGTCATTTTTCCTCTCCTTCTGTGTTTGCATTTATGCGTCCTGTGTTTAGTCACTTCCTGTTTTAATTTGTTAACTGCTAATTTAGTGTTTTCTTTAGTTTTGTTTCCCCTTGACTTCTTAGCTAGATTCTGTGCACCTGTGTTTTGTTTTACACAGCTGTGTCCCCTCTCCCCAATAACCTAGTGTGTATCTATTTAAGCCCTTAGTTTTCCTCAGCTCTTCATCACATTGTATCACTCATACTGTTCTCCTGCTGTCTGGTTTCCCTTGTTTGGATTTATGGACATTTGGTTTCTGCTGCTTACCTGAATATAGATTAGTTTTTTCATTAAGTTTGGCCTCAAGTCTTTATTCTGAGTCAAAATTATTCACCAAATATGCCATTAACTTAGCTACATTATAATCAGTGGGTGGAGCACTATGTTATCGGCTAACACTCGTTAGCTTGGTTAGCAAACAGTAATCACAAACTGTGATATATTTATTTCCTATCTTATTCATAGCCTTTTCCTTTTTTTGTTTTCTTTAGGTCACGAGCAGTTGTCCAAGCATTTCACTACATATCGTACTGTGTATGACTGTGTACGTGACAAATAAAATTTGAATTTGAAATTTGAATTTGTACTACTAAAGCACAAGTAAATGCTGGAATTTCTCTCACTAAAACAGAAGCAAGCCATAAATTAGCTGGGCTCCCGCATCACACACACAGAGCGAAGAGGTCCAATTTAATCACTCAAAGTAGTGGATGAAGCCTAGCAGACACAGCTGGCTCCAGATACCAATATTGGGATGTCTGTCAATCAAAACAGCCACACCCTTCAGTCAAATATTCATGTGGATGAGTTATAAATACATCCAGCACACTCAGAGTTCATATAATGGGGGGAAAATATCCATAGAAGGTAAAAATGTTTTGTACCAGGATCTAAACATGACTTTTTTTTAATGAGGTAAAGTTTTAACATTTTACATGGGCGTCTAAAGGGATTGACTCCATGTTTGAGCCAGTGGGGGAACTACCACTTTTGTGTTAGCTTAATTTTTAGCTCGGAAGGTTGCCAAGCTAGTCAGTGCTAGCAAGCTACATCCATCCATCAAGTCCTAAGCAAGAAAAGTTTCACTAACAAAAACAGGAGCATAGATGGGCTGTACCACACAGCGGGCCAGATCATTTGTTTGTCAGATAATTTCATCAAGATGCTCC